AGAATGTATGCAAAAAGAAATTGAAAGAAGAATAGCAAATAGTTGGAAACGTTATTGGTCACTGAGTGAAATCATGAAGAACAAAGAAATGCCTATGAAGGCAATTCTCAAGAGAAAAGTCTATAACATGTGTATTCTACCATGTTTACTATACGGATGTCAAACCTGGGCGTTGACAGAAAAATTATCAAATAAGATAAAAATTTGTCAAAATAATATGGAGAGAAGTATAATAGGGGTAAAAAGAAAAGACCGCGTAAAACTAAAAACAATTAAACATAAAACAAATTTCAAAAATGCATATAAAACTTATAAACAGCTAAAGTGAAGATGGATAGGTCACATGATAAGAGAAAAGGAAGAGAAATGGACAAGAATAACAACAGAATGGTATCCACGAGACGGTAAAAGAAATAGAGGTAGACAGAAAGTAAGATGGGAAGATGATATCAGGAAAATAGCCGGTTCAATATGGACTCGTAAAGCAAAGGACAGGACGGAATGGAAATCTTTAGAGGAGGCCTATGTCGGAAGACAAGCTGTACCGTAAACTTACGCAATAAAAATAAGCTAATTTTACCTAAATGCCGCCTGCACAAAGTCAGTAATTCATTCTATGGTAATTGCGTAAGATTTTATAATAAACTGCCAGAATCTGCACTAAATCTGACAGAGAGGCAATTCAAATCTTATATTAAACAATTTTTATGTAAGAAAGCCTATTACAGGATAGACGAATTCATAGAAGACAACATATCAAGTAAATAATTAGTTTATTAGCATACAACGTTATAATTTGTTTATCTCATTGCTTTCTTCATTTAATTATTTTAGAAATGTGATAGCGTAGCGGGTTTTGTATTAATTGCCGCATGCATTCTTATGTGAAATGTGAATACTATAAACATCAGATGGTAATTGTGAGTAGCTATGACGTGGTCTGGTGTTTTGAGTAGTCATGCTCACTAAAATGTCCAGACTTGTGGCGGCGTGGTGGGCCGGGTCATTGGGCTCCCTAAAATATGGTCGAGCGCAGTGATGGCTGGCTCATCATCGTCATACTCGTGAACGGGTGCTGCTTGTAGGGACTGGTCTGCTCTAATCACTATGACTGATTTCCTCTTATTAATTGTTTAACCAGTTGGTTATGTATTCAATATTTTTTTCTTTTTGAGTATTTAATTGAATTAGTGCTAATCGGTGGTTTGTATTCACACACTTAAACTTAAATTGTAAGTAAGAATAAATTATTTAAAAGAGCAACACACAAGTTTCTTGCTTGTTCTTCTTGTGATGAGACAGCATTCCGAATGAGTGGTAGATTAAAAAAAAAAAAAAAATGTTATGACTATTCAAAAGTGCTTCAATGTAAGTTTATTTGAATAAATGATTTTCTATTCTATTCTATTCTACCGTTTATCGATAATAATATTAACCAAATGTAAAAATATTCGTATAGCAATAAAGGCTTTTTATTTTATTTTTATTATGGTAGGTATGAATACGTTAGAGGTAAGGCGAAAGTGTAATCTGATGGTGCACTATTATATGCTGCTGAATGGGAGAATAGATAATCCGACAACCCTAAGTCGTTATTCTTTATATGCCCCAGAGCGGTACCTGCGACTACGCACGTTTCGATTACTATGGGCTTACCCTTAGCAAACTGGGCAGTGCATGTGCGAACATGTGGTGCCGATATGTTCGCACATGCACAGTCCAGTTTGCTCCCACTTATCAAGATATCTCGCTGCTCAATAGGTTGGTTTTGGATCGACCAGAGGTCGATATTTTTCATGACAATATTAATAAGTTTATTGAGTGTTGTTTGTTTTTTTTTTTATGTAATTACGATATTCGTTATATTACTGGCTCACTACAGGCTTTGGTATATCTGTAAGTGTGGTGAGTACCTTATCTTAAATAAATAAATAAATAAATATTGTCGTGGTGATCAGCGAGTGCGAGACTGCCCATTGTGAACTAACTGTATGTAATAGTTGTCGTAGTAGTCTGTTACACAAAGCGAATTATTATCGGCGATTTGGTCCTGCAAATACGAGACAGTCCCATTGTACAATACGTTAGTGCAGACGGGGGTGCACCTTCCATTATCATCCATAAGAAAAATCACACGGCAAATAGTTGTATTATTGGCGAATAGTTGGGGTAAATGCGAGATAGTTCCACTGTGAATTAGCGAACTATATTCTACTCAATAGAGCGAGTATTATTAGTGAATTTCTGATGCAACTGCATGGCGGTCTCGATCTCAATGTATTAATTGTTTATTAACTTTACAGTGGCAAGGGAGAAGTTGTTGGCATCCTAAAGGTGAGTCGCAAGCACCTGATCTTGTACGAGGAGCAGCTGGACTTTTTTGTTCTGCCAAGTCACCAGCGCCACGGCTGCGGTCGCCTACTTTTCGATAATATGTTGAAGGTATGTAAATACTAATTGAAAGAACATATGTAAACCTCTACCCGAAATTATATACACGTAGAGTTGACGATATAATTTATATATAAAAAACCAAAAGATGGAATTTTATTATTTTCAATTGTTTAAATAAATAAATATAGTTATGGCTGTACATGCCTAATGAATGATCTATGCATAAAATTAATTAATCCAACTAATAGTTTGTAATTGAATTGAATAGAACAATTGGAACTGCCATCCAGTACAATGAAAGAGTTTGGTTTTTCTGTATCAATTCAAGTTTTTAATAGAAAAGAAAAAAATTATTCAAACAAACTTAATTTAAGCACTTGTAGCTACCAACCTCCTTCCATTCACAACAGCCATTTAACACAAATAAATATATTTACTTAAAAGTATATTCTCAAAATGTCAAATTTATTCGCTTACTAATTACTGATTTGGAAACTTGTTATACATATTTGATTATTATTTGATATTTTTATTCTGTAAATCATTACATTACTGTACGTCCCTATGTATGCTTAAATCTTTAAAACTACGCAACGGATTTTGAGGCGGTTTTTTTAAATAGATAGAGTTATTCAAGAGGAAGGTACACGAAGGACGAGGAAGGACGCACGTAGACGTTTTTATGCGAATTTATGTACTAACGTAAATTAGCTACTAATGAAAAAAAATATTTTTCGTTAGTACATAAATTATTATGTATCCTACGTCATTACATGGTGATATCACAAAGAAAACGTGGTACTTGAAAATATGTTACAATTGTAATTAAAATGTAATAAAAGTAAATATTTGCACTACGTCTAAGGCCAGGGACTATGTACATTTACTATATAATACAATACTTTAAACTGACTATTCCGTACAGGCCTAACTCCAGTGAGAGCACTCCGGCGTCGACCCCCGCTGTCGGCAGGTACACGGCCCACAGGCCCCCGTCTGTCATTGCCAGTGTAAGCAACTTACCATTACAATTTATTTCACAATCTATATAGCCTTTCCCTTTGGAGGTGAGAGGAATCGAACACGCGAACATCGGAAATAAAGCGATGTGTTAGACCACCGAAGCCGTGTGATGAATGATTTTTGCTTTCTGATCTAATGTTTGTATTCGATTTTTTATACTATATTCGTAATTTCGTTCCTTTTTATTTTTACTTCGCCGTCTTGATAGTTCATGAAATAAATATTCTTTTTGAGTATTTTTCTTGTATTGCTATTTATATATACAGATACATCAATATATTAGATCAGACGGAAGAGTGTGAAATTTCGCATGCTTATAATTCTATATTCTATATAAACTAAACTACTATGGAGAGAGACAGCATTTTTTTTAAATTATTCATAATAAGTGCATTATTACAATATATAAACATTACACATACGCGCATATAAGTACAGTCTTTGACAAAAACCTTAATGATGTTCAAACTCATAATTTAAATTAATTATGGACGAAATACGAAATACTTTTAGGCGATTGGTAAAATTAAACTAGAACACAGACGAATACTGAATTATAATACTCTATTTGCAGGTGATCCACGGCGGATCCAACGATAACGTCTACAACGGGTATGTATTCTAACATACTAAATACTACCAGCCTAAAACCTCACCTTCCTTGAGGGCGCTCTACTCTCAGTTGCTTTACCCTTCGACATCATGCTCATTATCTATAAAATAAAATTTTCTCTGGTATCAGACTAATATGCATTAAGATATTAATAAAATACTAACTGTTGTTGTGTTGTCGATGGCTGTTTAAATTACTAAGTTTGTTTCTCATCTATGATACTAGATGGCGCTAGTGGAAAAATTGAAACGCGCTAAGGTTTGACTTTTGTCCCAACCCATGTACTGGAATTGTATTAATTTTTTTTGGTCGCTTTTTTGGTCACGGCGGTGACGAATATACGCAGTGTAAATAGTTGTGTGTTTTATTGTAGTGCCCTCTATAAAAAAATGTGTTAAACAAAACTGGTGCCGAAACCCGGGAAAAGTTGAAAAGTCGTAAGTGGCGGTGGTGAGTGCTATGGATTGTGAAATTGGACCTTAAAACTGTGAGTAAAATAACTTATTAAAAATAAAGTGAAATATTAACTTTGAATTATTTAGTAGTGAATTTGGACTTGTAAAATTTTAAAGTAAATTCATAGACTTAGAAAAATTTAGTGAAAAAGTGAACAGACGAGGACTCCATGTCGAAAATTTTCGAAGTGTTTAAATAGTTTAAAGACTTAGTTTCTGGCGGCTTACATCAACATAGAAAAATTTCAAAGTGTTAAAACATTTTAAGGACTTAGTTTCTGGTGGTTACAACAACTTAGAATATTTTTCTTATATCATTGATAGTATCTTGTGGACTACTTATACACGGAACATTGACTTTGAAATATTTTTGCCTTTATATTAACTTAGGCAAATATAATTGTGATACACGTTGGACAATTTAATGAGATAAATTAATGCACAGATATTCTATTAGTGTACAACATTAATTGTTTGGATTAATTTAAAGATAAAATTTGAATACATTATTAACAATGGAGGGTTTACTGAATATACAAGAGGATAGATATCAAAGGTTATGCAAATCAGAATTAAATTATAAGAAAAGTCCAAAGGATAGAATAACCAACAGTTACTTGAATACGAGACTAGATACATTGGAAAAGCTTTGGAAAGATTTTCAAGATACTCATCAAGAAATTGTCACTGTAATTACAACTGAGAAGCGCAACGTCATTGGGTACTTTAAGAATGATATCTATGACAAATTTGAAGAAAATTACATTAATTATAAAGGTTCCTTACAAGAGGTTCTTCAAACAAAAAACCCTGTTGTTGCACATTCTATGCCAGTAGCGCCTACTACCAGTGACGTAAAATTACCGTGCATACAATTACCCACGTTCAGCGGAAAATATAACGATTGGCAAAGCTTCTTTGATATGTTCTCATCAGTCGTACACAATAACAAGAGTTTATCATCAGTCCAAAAGTTACATTATTTAAAAGGGAGTCTGTCGGGCGAAGCAGAAGGCTTACTTCGAAATTTACCTACTACAGAACTCAACTACGAAATCGCATGGACTACACTTACTAAACGTTATAATAATAAAAGATACAATTGTAATGCAATATTAAAGGCCTTATTTTCACAAAAACACATCAACGTGGAGTCTGCACCTGCTATTAAAAGTTTACTTGACACAACATCGGCATGTCTAATTTCATTAAATAATTTGGGCATTGCTACTAGTTCTTGGGACGCCATGGTGGTTTATTTGGTAACTTCTAGACTGGATCACGAATCACTTCGTCAATGGGAGACAAGGGTCAGTGTAATATCATCTGACACATTACCAACCTGGAAGGAGTTAATGGATGGATTTCTTGAGTCGAGGTTCAGAACTTTAGAAATTATAGATACCAATAAACACGCCACGAGAGCGCCACAGCAGAATATTAAACAAATGGAGAAATTTAAGTCATTTGCAGCTGTTCAAGATAAAAGATTAACTACGAAGCAATCATGCGTTATGTGTGCAGGTGATCACCTAATTTTTCAATGCAAGTCGTTTGGACATTTACTACTACGAGAAAGACAAGATCTTGCTCAATCAAAGGGATTATGTTTTAATTGTCTCGCGCCCACTCATACTGTAAGAAAATGTCGTCAGTCAACATGCTGCCGTAGATGTGGAAGGAGACATCACTCACTGCTGCACCTCGAAAAAGAAAATAATCAAGGGCCTATAAATAATTTAGAGAATACAAACACTGATTCAGGGCGACCCACATTAGAGAACACAAATGCAACTCCTGATAGTGAAGTGAGAGTTGTTGCCAATTTTGCTAAAGAGAATGAGATAAGAACGTACAGAGTGTTATTGGCAACGGCAGTTGTTAGAGCTTATTCGCGAAACGGTCAATCGAATTTACTTAGGGTGTTAATTGATCAAGGATCACAAGCGTCGTTTGTGACCGAAGAGATGGTTCAATTGCTAGGGCTTAAACGTACTCCAGTAAATGGTTGTGTGTCAGGTCTGGGAGATGGTCAATTAAGAATTAAACATATGGTCTCTTTTCGTATAGAATCACAGAGAAATTCAAACAATTCAATTCAGATTACCGCTTATGTATTAAAATCACTTACTTCACGTATTCCATGTACTAATGTAAACATTCCTGATTGGCTAGACATCGAGAAATTATCACTAGCTGATGCAGGGTATACATCACCAGGTAGAATAGACGTTCTTCTTGGAGCTGAAGTTTATAGTGAAATTTTATTGAGTGACATGTTGAAACATCCACAAGGACATATGTTAGCACAAAACACTATTTTTGGGTGGGTTATTTCAGGAAGAGTGTCACAATCAACTTCGATAAATGAGAAATTAATAAGTTTACATATACAGATAAGGGAAGATACTTTATTGAAACAATTTTGGGAATTGGAAAATGAGCCAAATACAATTAAAAAGAAGTTAACCAAGACAGAAGAAAAATGCGAAGAAATTTATGAGTTAACTACACGTAGAAACGATGAAGGGAGGTTCGTAGTGAAATTACCATTAAACAGAGAGAAACCAGAATGTGAAAATGGAAAATTAAAGGATATTGCACAGAAAAGATTTCATTTCCTTGAAAGAAAATTTCAGAAGAATCCTGCATTTAAAGAAGAATACAATAAAGTCATTCTGGAATATTTAGATTTAAATCATATGGTACGCGTTAGTGATGATTCCGATAACTGTAAGGCTGTTTATTTCCCCCATCATGCAGTGGTGAGGGAGGACAAGGAAACAACAAAGCTACGCGTTGTTTTTGATGCGTCATGTAAAGGTGTCAATGGCGTATCTCTTAATGACAATCTTCTTGTTGGACCCAAACTTCAACAGGATTTAAGGCACATTTTAATGAGATGGCGAAAGCATAGGATATGTATTGTAGCGGACATTATCAAAATGTACAGGCAGGTTCGTGTACGTGCTGAAGATACGCGATACCAAAGAATAGTTTGGCGATCAAATCCAGATGAACCTATCGGTCATTACGAATTACTTACCTTAACATTCGGTACAGCCTGTGCTCCGTACTTGGCTGTAAAATCACTGCAACGATTAGCAGATGAAGAACAACATAATTTTCCTATTGCAGCAGAAATAACAAAGCGAGACTTTTATGTTGATGACCTTATGACGGGCTGTGAAACTGAAGACAAAGCTGAAGAAATTTATAAACAATTGAATCAATTACTAAATTCAGGTGGTTTCCAGCTTCAAAAGTGGAACAGTAATAGTAACAGTTTTCTGCAATTTATTGGCCAAAACAATCAAGATGACGCTCAATCATTAACGGTAAAATCAAATTCTATAATCAAGGTTTTAGGGATCCGATGGCATAGAGATTCGGATAAATTTCAGTACATTGTGAAGTTACCAGAGTTGAGTTTACCAGTTACAAAGAGGAAGGTGCTTTCTACTATCGCAAGTTTATACGATCCCATGGGATGGATTGCGCCTGTAGTGATTGTTGCTAAAATATTCATTCAAAAGTTGTGGAAGTCTGGATTGCCATGGGATAATGAATTAACGGAAGACTTGTTAACTGAGTGGTTGAAATACAGGGAAGAGCTAATTAATTTAGAGGAGATACTGATACCGAGATGGTTACAGTATACGCATAACTGTAAAACAGAGCTGCATGCTTTCGCTGATGCGTCGCAGTCTGCCTATGCAGCCGTAGTATATCTACGTGTAATAGATAATGACGGTCGGGTTTATGTCCATTTAGTAACGGCAAAAACAAAAGTTGCCCCAATAGAAAAACAACTGTCAATTCCGAGGTTGGAACTTTGTGGTGCAGCATTAGCTGCAAAGCTATTATTTGAAGTGTCGCAAATAATGGAGGTTCCTAAAGAGAATTTGTATGCATGGTCAGATTCGACTGTCGTTTTGGCGTGGTTACGAGGTTTGCCGTCACGATGGACCACTTTCGTCAGTAATCGTGTATCTGAGATTTTAAATATTATACACAGCGATCAGTATAGGCATGTCGATACAAAATTGAATCCTGCTGACTGCGCTTCTAGAGGCTTGCAACCATCTGAGTTGAAAACTCATACACTTTGGTGGAATGGACCGATATGGCTGCATGAGCCAATTGTTGATTTACAGATATTTGAGTTCACCACTAAAGAAGAGGAAAAGGTTAGCAAGGTAATAGAAGTAAAGTCTTTAGTCACAATAAACAGAAAAGAAATCAACAGACAATTAATAGAGGAAGAAAATAATTTCATTTGGAGTAAATATTCATCATTAAAGAAAATGTTGAGAATAATTTCATATATTAGAAGATTTTTAAATATAAAAGTAAATAAACATAAATATCCTAAATTTATAACAGTTCAAGAATCTGAAGAGGCATTAATGATATGTATTAAGCAAGTGCAACATTTGTATTTCAGTGATGAAATGAAACAACTACAGAAAGGTAGTGTATTCAAAAGAAGCGAAGTTTATTCTCTTAATCCTTTTTTGGATGAGAAAGGAATTTTGAGAGTAGGTGGTCGCATACATTTAGCGAAGTTGAATTATAATGAGAGACATCCCATCATAATGCCTGAGATAAGTCATCTTACCCAGGTCATTGTAATGGACGCACATAATTCAACAATGCACAGTGGACCTCAAACAATGCTTAACTACATAAGAAGTCGATTTTTTATAATACGAGCTAGGAAATTAGTGAAAAAACACTTTAGAGAATGCATCACTTGTTTGAGATATGCCCAAAGAAAAAATACTCCGTTAATGGGTCAGCTGCCTGAAGTTCGTTTGCAACCATGTAAACCATTCAAATCAGCTGGGGTTGACTACGCAGGACCCATCAACATCAAATTTTCTCCAGGAAGAGGAGCTAAGTCATACAAAGGTTATGTTTGCCTCTTTATTTGCATGGTGACTCGTGCTATACATTTAGAAGCTGTTTCAGACTTAACTGCAAAAGGCTTCATTGCTGCGTTCCGAAGGTTTGTTGGTCGACGTGGATTTTGTATGGATCTCTATAGTGATAATGGCACCAACTTTGTTGGTGCCGATAAAGAACTGAGACAGATGTTCGATGGAGCAAAATCAAGAGTTCCTCAGGAAATTGCAGAATTACTTGCTCTACAAAAAACTACATGGCATTACATCCCTCCCTACAGTCCTAATTTTGGAGGACTTTGGGAAGCCGCGGTGCGCTCAACCAAACTAATTTTGAGAAAGGTGATCGGTGAAAGTACGCTCACATATGAAGAATTGTCTACGGTCTTGATCCAAATTGAAGCGTGTCTGAATTCGCGTCCATTGAGTCAATTAAGTGACGACCCTTCTGACCCTCTTCCACTGACACCCGGTCATTTTCTGGTAGGAGAACCCATCATAAGTGTAGTTGATAATTTTCATTATAATCAAATTAGTAATGTAACTGGTTTAGAACGGTGGAGATTAGTTCAAAAAATGATAAACGATTTCTGGAATCGGTGGTCTAAAGACTATTTATTGCATTTAGATAAGAGATATAAGTGGAGTATAAAAAGATCTGAGCCAGATATTGATGATATTGTAATAGTCCGAGAAGAAAATTTACCACCCACGAAGTGGATACTTGGTAGAATTGTAGAAAAGCATGCCGGTAAAGACAATATAACTCGTGTTGTTACTCTTAAATGCAAGGACAAATTGTTAAAACGTCCTGTTAATAAATTTTGTTTTTTGCCTAAAAAGTAGTATCTACATTAGTGCAACATTGTTTTTGTATTTTTTGGTGTGTGTTAATAGCAGTAAGAGATCTGTTAATTTTGTTACTTTAAGTTTAATTTTATATTGTCATGGTGGGCGGCTGCATTTGTCATATTGATTATTATATGTTCAGTTACATATAATTAAGGTAAGGCGGCATCATTGCTTGTAAATTAAATTGAATATTGTTTTTTTTTTTTTATTATTTTGGCCTATTTGTTGTATGTAATAATATGTTAAGTTTTCTATTGTCAAATTATTATTTGTAAGGACAAGTCCTTGGTGGGCGGGATGTTTAAATTACTAAGTTTGTTTCTCATCTATGATACTAGATGGCGCTAGAGGAAAAATTGAAACGCGCTAAGGTTTGACTTTTGTCCCAACCCATGTACTGGAATTGTATTAATTTTTTTTGGTCGCTTTTTTGGTCACGGCGGTGACGAATATACGCAGTGTAAATAGTTGTGTGTTTTATTGTAGTGCCCTCTATAGTAAATTGTGTTAAACAATGGCAACCATTGCGCACTCATTGGTTCTACATGTAAATAACACTTGCACCAAACAATATTTATTCTTACACAGATAAAGACGACCTTTTCGCTACAAGTAAGACTCGCTCAGACGACCTGGAGTATGCTTTTGTTTGGCTTATAATTTTGATATTTTTTTTATTATTACTATTTTTTTTACTTCGCTTCTGTTTTGCACATTTACCAATTTACTTTCATTAGTTTTGTAGCGTTCTATTCTTTTTAATTTAGTTTTGTAAAACTCAATATTATATTTAATCGAATTAGGTGTTATTAATTGTAAAATATTTTCATTGCAATATAACTCAATATTATATTGCAATGAAAATATTAAATTTACTAAACGCCAATAAGAAGTATACAAAACTATCAACAAGTATTAATAAAGTAGCAGTCGAGGATAAATATTGTTATTTATCTTAAACTGAAAACATGTGCCGACCCTAAATAATGGGATAGAGACAAGGCAATGATGATCTTCAGTAAATACAAATATATTAATATCATAAAGTTCAATAATTCAGTTTATTTTATTTAAAAACCTCGACTTAGTAAAGTAATTTAATTGATGAAATATTCTAGATGCTTAATTGATAAAAATTTTTGCAAATCACAACCAAGACATTTGTACAAGTAAAAAATATATAAAAAGTACATAAACTGTTATAACGAGTAGTTAGTTAATTAGTTATTATTTTTACAAGTCTTCCGTTTTATTTTCCGTATTATAATTTCCTGGTTTCGTTTATGTTAAGCATTGATTTTGATTTGTTTTTTTTTTTGGTTTCTCGCAGCTACGCGCGGCGAGAGATACACGCACATCACGACCACTATACATTAAATCTTTAACACCTGAATTTTTTTTTTTCATCCAATGGATTTGGTGAATTCCATGTGTCTAAAGTATAAAGGCTAAATCTGGTTATAAGAAACAAATGAATACCGATTGTATTCATTATTTTCCATCGGAAAGCTTGAGAGTATAATATTTCTTTTTTAAATTATATCATGTCTACAATTGTGTACGCCACTTTTGAAAGGGTTAATATTTATTGCTTAACACGTAGGCCATATGCCACAGTTTCAAAGTCTGCAATATTCATTCAAATCCTATATGCCGTTACATCGAATGTATTCGCAATCAAGACTTATTACGCGTTATATTTATAGCCTATATGTTATTCTGATGTATAAGCTATAATACTGTAAAGTACCAATAAAATACGTTCAGTAGTTTTGTGTGAAAAGTAACAAACATCCATCCATACTCACAAACTTTCGCGTTTATAATATTAATAAATAAGATTATCAGAATGTTTTATATACAGTCACGGTGAAGTCGTTACGCCTACACCTAATATCTCACTACAAGTTCTGTCGAACAGAGCATGCGAGTCGACAGCAACATATAGTAATGGACATAAGACGTTATAACATTAGCTGACTAAACATTACATGTTCCTTCCGATCGATCCCCCGTCCAATTCAAACAGGTATAGAAATTACGACGGCCTGAGACAAGGTTTAAACCCCTCCCGGTGCCCTCAGACTAAAGTCGTATCCGTCAGGTAGGAGTTGGCTTTCAGCCGCTCCAAAAATCCTTCCGCAGATTTAGAGTACCATCTGCACTCGCCCCCTATCGTCCGGTGAAGCTGTAAAGGCCAGCTGCGGCCAACAGCATTCGAGTAGTTCATGAAAAAAGAGAGTACATGTTTCGAAGATCGAAATAAAGATCATAGATGATGTGACCCGGACATCGGACCCGTTTTTATAAACAATATAGTTTTAAAATCATTAGTATCCTGACGACTTAGGCGTAATGCCGGTTAGTCAGGGAGAGAAACACCTCAATGCCTACAATATTCACAATTACCTATCTCTTATTTGTTTTTATAATAATATCAACACTTTCGCTCCAAAACTCCCGCTGCCTACGTTCAATCATCCGTCATCCACTTGTCAATGTCACATAGATTACTTTGGCTCTGGCCTCTGACGTTCCGTTTCAGGTTACATGATTATTGACTTTACCATTTTTAATTAATGGTGCGTCACACGATAGTTAACAGTCGGCCATCCTGCAATAGTGTCTGGCCCACACACATAGGTAACTGATGAGCGTAGTCATGCTTATCAAAAGATATAGTGTATACAGGATCATATAACAAATACTTAACTAAATAAACTAAAGATACACATTACTTTCATAACATTGACTATCTTAGTATACTGTCAAAGGTTTACAATCTAAAATCAATACTAACAGAGCTAAGTTTCGGCATGCATTCAGAATGCACAAAATATAACATAACATATATTAATTTACATAATCCAAATCACCCAAAAACATGAACAACCTTTTAGAGTAACAAACAATTATTTGGCGGTGATTGACTTCTATGAGTCAGACTGTAACATATCACCATCACAATGTAAGTTTCCGATCTTATGAACATTGCATTTTTTTTTATACCTCCAAAATAGAACTTGACATTTCTCATCATGAATATTTTAACGGATAAATTTAACATATCACATTACAAAAGGTAAAACTTAATTACCTACATATATAGAGAAAAAAATATAAAGAGAAAGTAATATTCTCGTGACATAAAATTAGAACAAAATCGCTGCCTGCCTTCACCTAACCAATAGAAAATAACAGGTCAATATTATTCAAGTGGTTCTAATACCCTCAATACTACTACTACTATTTTACTTCGACGATACTCTTGATTTACCAGAGAATTATTTTAATATAACATAATTCATTGAATTTCAGTTATGATTTACTTAATAATACCATCAGCTCACTGGTCAAGTAATCTATTGCACCCTTTGAACCCTGTACATTTAGGGGACTATAAATGATTGTAGATACTGATCTCAATTTTCTTTACAACACCAGTTTAACATAAACCAAAACCCACTGTTCTAGATCAATGTGAAATAGAAATAATCTTTATTCAAATAAACTCAATATAATCACCTTTGAGTAGTCAAGATTTTTGAATCTATCGCTTATTCGGAACGCAGATTCATCACAAGAAGAATAAACAAGAAACCTGTGTGTTGCTCTTTTAAATAAATATTGATTTACTTATATTTAATTAACAACAAGGATTAGGCATGCGGCAATCAACATAAAAACCGCTACGCACTTAATCTCCGTTCAATCAGACAACATTGACAGCGCTATGAATTTCAAGTTAGATATTTTCTAAAAAACACTGATTTATAAATGATGACATTTATAAATTTTTCAATTTTATAATAAGCTTTTTTTTTTACAAAGAAAATATTTTATGACACATTTGATTTCTTTTTCTGGCAAATTGAGTACAGACTCTGGGAGTTTGTTGTAAAACCTTGCGCAATTTCCATAAAACGAATTACTAACTTTCGTCAAACGAACGTGAGTTTAGTAAGCCTACTATTCACTTTATATTTTATCGATGGTATTCGTAGCCACTTCGGCCATCCAACGTTATCGAAGGGCCTCATTCGATATTATCATAACAGTTAACATCGGGTAATATAATAAAATTAAAATCATATAAAATTTAGTTTGAGATAATTTACATACTTAAAATATGAAAGTTGCCACTGACAACTACACATTACATTTCAACATCATGAATTCAGTCTTTGTTATATTTTTCCGCCTTAAGTTGTATCACTTAATTTTTCACACCAGGTACTAGTCAGCATCTCTGCAAACACGGCTGCCTAGCTAATTAGTGAAATACCTGTTAAAACAAAACATTAAAAAAATGCCACCGCTTGCCCACTATGGCTACGGTCTCAACAGATCTGGATTTTATTAGACTCAGCCACCGCTTGCCCGCACAAGGAGCTACGGCCTCAAACTGGTCAAATTCTCATTAGACTCAGCCACAGCTTGCCCACACAAGGAGCTACGGCCTCAAACTGGTCAGATTCTCATTAGACTCAGCCACCGCTTGCCGCCACAAGGAACTACGGCCTCCAACTGAAACACATCAAATATTTAACAACTGGTCATTTTCTCAATGAGGCATTCACCGCTTGCGCACGCAAGGAGTTACGGCCTCCAACTAGTCATATTCTTTATGGTACTATGCTATTTTTACTTCAGCCTCAAGTGCTCTACATTGCAACTCAACTATGGGTTATATGCACTCCCATCAAAATTTACTCTTACTTTTTATTCTATTACATATCTTTAAGAACTGGATTTCCTGGTTCCATTTTACTATTTCTCCAACGCTTTAAAGGACTTTATAACATTTAATCATAAGTTAATTCAATTTACTTATGTAACAAATTCGAATTATATATCTAGTTATATATATCTACCAATTTCTGAACGAACATGCAATATATTACTACCACATACCCTACTCCTATTATTATCTACCAAATCTTGAGTAGCATCAACAAAAAGCGAGTCGTTCGTTGTACGTCGCATTGAGCACA